TGCACCTCAGGGGGCATCCTCCACACCTGCCCACATAGCTCTAAACCAGGGGCAGCCAGGATGGGCCCTGATCCTGCCCCCTCTATCTCCAGCTCTGTGCAATGATCTCTTGGGGACTTATCCCAGAGTTAGAAAAGGAGAACTATCTAGAAAATGCCCAAGCGTTGTGATATCACTGTCGAGTCAACTGTGTACTCCCCAGTCCTACCACAGAAGGGTCAAACAGAAGCCCTCCCCGTCTCAAACAGCACCATGCCATCCGGTCACCAGGGTCTGGCCCTATGGACTCACTAACGCTGACGTCCTCCAGCCCCCACATCCAACCCTCCAGCAAAAGCTGAGGACTTTACCTTCAGACTTGTCCAAAATCTGATCACATTTCCACCTCCCCTGCCCACCTAGATTCTGGCACTGTGAGCGCTGGCCTGCTGCACCCAGATCGCCCCCTGCCAGAACCCCATGTACCTGGTGTCTCCACTCACCGAAGCAGCCCACCGCACTCTCGTGCAGTATGGTCCTTCACAGAGCAGCTCATGTCACCCCCATGTCTGCCTTTGCATGGACCCTGCTGCACCTGGCAGGGCCTCAGTCACATGAAGCCCGCAGACCCTGCCTCCTGCTGGCCACTCCCTGGCCACCCGTCTTCTCCAGAACACTTGTTGAGTGATAACAGCAGTGCTCACGCAGGCGAGGAGCCATGGTGCTGAAGCAAACTGAACCAGGGTCTGCTACCACACGAGGAAACAGTGAGCTGGGCCCATGCTGTGTCCACTGACATGCTCTCCTGTTGAAACTCGCTGTGTGGAGCCCAGGACTTGAGAAGGAAAGAGGAGTCTATGGAAAAGAGAACTCAGAACTCAAAATATCTCAGTGACACTGCAAAAGCTTGTCTCCGGAGAGGGCACTTCAGCCGACAGCCCCTCCCCGCTGTCCCCAGTGAACCCAGCCAGCAGCCTGATGCAGAGCTGGCCTCCCTTTCCCATGAAACCACGACTGACTTGGCAGCTTTCAACCTGTGCATACAACACACTCCACACCCCACCGCCAACCTCGGCATTCCTGTGTACCAGATGACAGGCCTACTCACGACTCTGGTCCTTGTCCCTCCCCAGGATGCAAGTGCAGGTAGCTCTCCCCCAGTGGAACTCAACTCTCTGGGTACTAGGTCTCAACAACTCTATTAGAAACTGGCAGACTCAAAGGTCATCAAAGGTGGACCCATCCCTCATAATCAGCAGCTTGGAAACCCAGGAACCGAAACTGTAGAACTCTGCTCACCGGTCAGAACAGGATCTGAGTTGTTATCTTTGGCCCTGGGTGGAGACATGACTTTCTCAACTGCCAGAAAGATCCTAAGATTCCTACCTGGCAGAGGCTTTCTGTAAGGTATGAAGACAGACTTTGCCCCTCTCTTAAGAGTGAATCCCATCCCTGCAATAGCTGCATAGGAAAGCCCCCTCAGGACAGCTGCCTGTTCTAGAGACTTCCACAGCATAGCATAAGCTGCCTGACCGTGCAGGTCAATGGCTCACTGGCCACTTTCACCTGGTGAGAGTGTTTTCTTCCACTGCCGTCCCTTGGGTCACTGTCCGCTCTCTCTTGAGAGTGCACCACCTCATAATAAACTGTCTTCTACACTACACTGTGTGTCTTGAATGAATTCTTTCCAGAGGTCACAAGAAGTCCAAGCAAGAGCACAGGAACAGGAATTACTATTCAGAATCACAGCCCAGCTTTCCAAATCACTCCAGTACAAATCGCTCTAGCATCGCTCTACTGAACTGGGGCTCTACAGACCCTTCCAGGCTTAGTACTTACCCCTTTCCCCACAGGGTGCTCATTTTAGTGAGCATCTTGGCTTCTGCTCCTGCCATCCCTCCAGTATGAAATTCATACCCATCCTGTCTAGCAGTTATTCATCCACTAATGGTCAAGCACCCACGATCTGCAAGACATGGCTGGACAAGGTGTTTATAAAATTACCAGGTGCTATTCCAATACAAGGCACTGTAAGGAGTTTGGATTTCATTCAAGTAATGGAAGTCTACAGAATATTTTTGAAGAAAAGAACTTAGGGGCCAGATTTGGTGGCACACATCTTTAATCCCAGCACCTGAGAGGCAGAGGCAGATGGATCTCTGTGAGTTCTAGGCCAACCTGGTCTACATAGGGAGTTCCAGGCCATCCAGGGCTTCATAATGAAACCCTGTCTCAAAAACAAAACAAAACAAAAAGAAACTTAGCAGTAAGCAGGACTCAGAATAGCAAGACAAGAACTGTTTGTAGATAGTAGCAAAGAATGCAGCGTGGACAGCAGGGCGGTAAGTCAGAGACTGGCATGTCGTTCAGGCTAGCCCTAAACTCCTACACTCAAATGATCCTTCTGCCTCAGCCTGGCACAGCTTCAGACAGTTAGAAGTGATCTGGGATTGACACAGCTCTCCCAGGGGTCTTGTCTCCTCCACAGTGCAGAAGGAACAGACATCAATCAAAGCGGAGAGTTACGTTTTCAGGTTAGAGTCAGGAAGACCAACATGGTATGGTGCTCTAGGTTTCACAACATTACCTCCCCAGAAAAGAGGCTGCCAATCCATCCCTTAGTGACGCCTGTTTGGGGGTGAGCCTCCTGGCTGACAATACTGCACACACACTGTCACCTCTCAAGGCGAGGGGAGCTCAGGCACAATAGGGAAGGGACAGCGGAAGCTATTGTGGAACTTCTCTGGGCTTCATGCTCCTTCCTGTGGCCAACTTTTATTTGTAGCCTTTTTCTATAACAAACTGTGACTGACCTCAAGTGCTTTCAGTGAGTTCCGAGTCCTTCCTGTGAACTAAACCAACTGAACGGCTTTGAGACCCCCCACCCACAGCAGTGCAGAAAGTGGGGCTGTTCCCGCTAAACTTGTAGGTTGGTGATGCGCACAGTTGACACTACCAAAGTGTCCGTGGGAAGCCGAAAATAAAATAAAAAGCACGCATGTATTTAAAGCATTACTTTTAAGAACCATCCCCAAACACTGCCTTCAACAAACCATCACATATGATAGTGTAGCATGGAGTTGGGTGTTCTAGAGTGGTCAGCAAGCTTACTTCCAGTGCAGACCAGACATTAACTTTATATGAGGATTATTTCAACTCATATTTCCTGAAGTTAGGATCATATTTTATTTATAGCACTTAAGTGCAAGCTGGGAAGTAATAATTTCAATAAGAATGTAAACTCATGCCCATACTGTTGATCTAATGGAGATAGTTCTTAAAGTTCACATAGTACATTCTGACCAAGCACCACTTCATTCGTGTTAATCCTTTTGTTCTGTTCTGTTTTCCTTGGGGCAGGTTCTCGCTATGCAGCCCAGGCTGGCCTGGAGCCGGCAGTCCTGTCTCTTAACTCCTGGATGCTGAGGCTATGGGTGAGTGCCCCCATGCCTGGGTACTTTTCCATTCTTGAAAAGGGCTTGGTTTTACAACATGTTGGTTAGCAGGGCTACAATGTCTTGATTTGTTAATCTGTCAACCAACACAGGCACCCCTGGGCAGAGAGAGATCTAACTTTTGCTGAGTGAATTCTGTATGACATGACCCCTCTGCACGGTCTGACTCTCCTCCCAACTCTCAACTCAGAAGTCAGTGTGCCCCTAGAGTGCCTCCACAAAATACACAGTCCCAATCCAACACCTCCAACCCATCTATTCTGCAGACTGTCCAAGACATGACACTCCTGTTTGTACTCCTGTTCCATTTTCTCAAATACCCCAAGAGCCTTTCACTTTAACCAAATCCTGCAAAGGCAAGTTTAACAAGGTGACTTTTTAAAGGTGACTTTAGGAGGAGGAGCTGCAAAACAACGTTGGAAAGATCAACTTCATGCGGGGTCAGAAGAAGGGTTTAGGAAGAAAGGCACAAGTCCTGAAGGGCCAAGGCTGGAACAGTAACATCAACACCTGTGTGCTCAAGTGCAGCCACTAAGCAGGCTGCAGAGGCGGCTGCCGCTGGGGTTTGGACAGCACCACACACACCCTGCATAATAAAGGCCGCTTCAGAGCAGGCAGCTGCATCTCCAGTTCCTGTTACTCCAATTTAATAGCCAGAATATAATAAACTGGTTATTCATGAACTCATAAAACGTGGATTTAACAGCTAGAAGGGACTTAGTTCTAGAAGTAATGACAGCTCAGCAGAGATGAATCTTACTGCCCTGAAGGCGACCTGCTTGTCCCAGAGGCCCTTTCGGGCAACTACCGACCCAAGCTCACTTGCAGGGTGGAGGGAGGAAAGCGAGGAGTAAGAGCCACGTAGAGGGGAGACCTCAGCTCAGGAGCAGACGACCAAGCTCAGAGAGTGACAGCACCAAATAACGGCCTGGGGGGAAGCGTGCTCCGGGGCCGTGTCGCCAAGGTCAGGCACAGGCTGCGGGTGCAATTCGGGCCGGAGCCTGGGGGATGCCGGCGGGTGACAGCTGAGCCCTGAGAGGCCGAAGCGCCATCGAGGGTGCCAGGAGGCTCCGCGGAGGCGCGGCGGGCCGGGCCCGGAGCCCTCGGGACTCGCACCCACTGCCTCCCGAATCACTCACCCGAGGCCCGGGCGGGGTCGCCCGGCGCTGCGGCTCCTCGCGGCCGGCGGCAGCAGCGGCGCGGGCGGCGGCGCATTA